GTAGTAGTAGTAGTAGTAGTAGTAGTAGTAGTAGAAGTGGTGGTGGTGGTAGTAGTAGTAGTAGTAGTAGTAGTAGTAGTAGTAGTAGTCGTAGTAATAGTCGTAGTCGTAGTCGTAGTGATAGTAGTAGTAGTAGTAGTAGTAGTAGTGGTGGTGGTGGTGGTGGTGGTGGTGGTGGTGGTGGTGGTGGTGGTAGTAGTAGTAGTAGTAGTCGTAGTAGTAGTAGTAGTAGGAGGAGGAGGAGGAGGATGATGATGAGGAGGAGGAGGAGGAGCAGGAGGAGCAGGAGGAGCAGGAGGAGGCAGGAGGAGGAGGAGGAGGAGGAGGCAGGAGGAAAAGGAGGAGGAGGCAGGATGAGGAGGAGGAGGAGGTGGAGGAGGGGGAGAAGGAGAACGACTGTTGTTTTGGTTGCGTGTTGGCATTTCGGCTCTTCTTTGGGCCTCTGGAGACCTCCAGGGACCTCCTCGTCTGCCCCTGCCTGCCTTTTTCGGCCCGGTGGAAGAAATATCTGGACCTCTCGTGGAGCGTGGTCCGACCAGGATTTCGAGTACGTAGATCCAGTCGTGGGACGAGGTCACGAAAGGCACGTCAAAGGCTATATAAAAGGATAATCAGGATGAGAAGGCCGCGCGATCATTCACTGTTCCTGGGTGCGTGACTGAAGTGGAGTTCCGCGGCTCGGATTCTGCTTGTTTGTTTGTTGTCGTTGTCCCACCCGCGACCCGCCCCGCGACGCACCGGCGATCCGCCCCGCGACCGACCCGGTGACCCCTTCGCGACCCACTCGTGATCGGCGCCTGCGCTGGGCTCGGTGTGCAATGTGTTGAAGAATCGGCGCCTGCGCTGGGCTTCTTCAGAGCCTCGCATACTGGCGACGACCCCACCTCCCCCTCACTCCTATCCGCAATTGCGGGGTGCTGCGTATCAATTCTTCCTGTTGTCTTCCTTAGGTCACGGACTCGGCCGAGCGATTGCCAATACACGGTGGCTTCATTTCCCTGGTAATGTGTAACTGTGTGCGTGGGGGTGGCGGCGGGCATGAGGAAACTATGCTGCATTATTGTTCCGTCCGCTCCCCATATACGGCGCACGCTCCCATTCACAGCATGTTTCTCTTCTTCGTGTGCGGAATGGCCCGCGGGCAATCTTATTGCAACGTCCTGCCTCTGTCACTTGGCCCCATTCCCACTCCCATTCACTTTTCTCCCCTCCCTCGATCGTTGCTGCGGATCTGGTTTGCCATCTCTTTCCCCTTTGCTCGTGATGCGAACGCACGCCCGCGGGCTAACGGGGTCAACATCCCAGCGTGTGGATGCTGCGGCGGAATACACAAAAATCCGATGTGTATTCCACCCACACCCCGGCCTCCTGGAGACGCGAGGGGCAGGTATGGCGGCGGCAAGGGGGGCGGCGGCTGCGGCGGCGGCGGCTTTGCCGGTGGCGGCGGCGGCGGCTTCGTGGCCACGCCGCGAGCCGGCGGCCACCGCTACGGCGGCGGCGGCGGCGGCTTCGTGGCGACGCCGCAGCAGCAGCAGCACCAGCCTGGCGGCTACGGCGCGCCACCAGCGGCCGCCTCGGGCGGAGGACCCAGAAGCACAGAGGGTCCTCGGCTGGAGGAGGAGGAGGAGGATGGGGAGGAGGGGGGCGAAGATTAGGGGGAGGGGGCGAGTGCTGTTGATGATGCTGTTGTTTATGATGATGATGCTGATGCTGATGCTGATGCTGATGATGATGATGATGATGATGATGATGATGATGATGATGATGATGATGATGATGTTGATTATGACGGTGGTGGTGATGAGATGATGATGATGATGATGATGATGATGATGATGATGATGATGATGATGATGATGATGATGATGATGATGATGATGATGATGATGATGACGGTGGTGGTGATGACGATAAGAAGGCGATGGTGATGGTGCTTTGGATTGTGGCGGTGGCGATGGTGAAGGTGACGATAACCGTGATACTGGTGAAGATGACGATGGTTGTAGAGTTCTCACATCCGAAGTAATAAACAGTTGTCCCCCCACGGGTGCCCAGTGTGTCTTGAATGTGAAGTGCTCCACGTGCAGTGCCCCTTGTGTTGTTATTGATGGGCAATGTAGCACAGTGGCCGTTGTAGTACATGTAGCGACGTGAAGCACTTTGCTTGCATAGTATATAATTTGTCGGCTTCGTCTGCCGCCTGCCCTTTCGGGGACCGCCCCTGCAGGAGCCTGCACGCAGGCTGAACTGAACTGAATAATTGAAGTACCTCCCCAGGGCTCGCACCCTGGTTTTAGCTCAAGCTGCGTTGTTGGCCCACAGACTACCACACCAACGACATCCGCTTGATGTTTCATCACAATCTATTCAGGATTCACCCTTTGGCTTGAGAGCTCCTTGCAATTTATTCAGAGTCGCGGTCTCGCCTGGGACATCTTTGCAAATCATCCAGGCGCCGCGCTCTGAACGCCCAGGAATCGCGCCCTTGCGCGAGAATTCGTACAGCTTGTCAGGAACCGGATTCTCGCCTGAGGCCTCTTTACGACTTTCGAAGTTCGCCTCGCTGCCCCGCCCGACCGGCCCGTCGTTACTGCCCGCCCGATCGCTCGTTTGGGCTCGCCTGTTCGCCGGCTGAGCAGCTTCCCTGCCCGCGCTACTACCCCGCCCGACCCGCCCGTTGGGGTCCGACCCGGCCGCCAGGGCCCGCTCGCCCGACCTGCCCGTTTTCGGGTCCGCCCGCCCGGCCTGCCCGCTGGACAGCCGCCCATGCGTTGACTCGGACGCCCGCCCACCCGTTGGAATGCCCCGCCCCTCGGGCCCGACCCGCTCGCTGTGGTGCGCACGCCAGTCTTCCTGCTCCCCCCCCCCTCCTGCTGAGTTCTTCTCGTCCTCGAGGTTCCGCCCTTTCTTCTGCCCCCCCTCGCTTTTTGTTCCCTCCTCCCTCTCTCGCTCGCTTCCCTTTTTTTCTTTTCTCCCTCCCCTTCGTACTCCAGCGGCCGCTCGAACTTCGCGTTGCAAGGGGTACGACCGAAGACGAGCAGGGCGGTTGCCGAGGGCTTGGGGTATGCATGTTGAGTGGCGCCCGAGCAACGAAGAGCGAGCAGTCTTCAAGCGATTGAACCTTCATTTCTGAAGACTAAGTACTGTGGACCCCCTGCCCGGTGCCCATGGTGCTTCTTCAAGTGCAGTGCCCCCCCCCCCAGGGCTCGCACCCAGTTTTCTAGAGAGGAGAGCCGTGGGGCTCCGACTGGAATATAGGCCCCGGGCTTGCCACAGCAACCACGGCTCCCGCCATTTTTTTTGATAACAAGAAAAAAAAACAGCAGCCACGGCTCCCGCCAGGTACCTCCTCGCAGGTTATTCAGAATCGCGCCCTCCCTCGGGACGTGCTCGCAACTTACTCTGGAATCTGGCTCTCACGCCCACCCTGCCCGAACCGCGTCGTTAGGGTCACGCCCGTCGGACCCCGCCCGCTGGGGTCCGCCCGTTCGCCTGCTCGGAAGCCCGCCCGCTTCAACGTCCCGCCCGATCGGCCCGTTAGGATCCGCCCGCCCGACCCGCTCGTCAGGGTCCGCCCGCCCGACCTGCGCTCCAGGGTCTGGCCCTTCTCGTCATTGGAGGCCCGCCAGCCCGCTTTGATGCCCTGCCCGCCCGCCACGCCTGTCAGGGTCCGCCCGCCCGACCCGCCCGTTGAGGCGGGGTGCTTGTCAGGGTCCACTTGCGCAACTCATTGCTCCTCTCTCTTCCTTTTTCTGCCGAGTTTTCTTCGCCCTCTTGCCCCGCTCCGTTCTCTTGCCCTCCTCCGTTCTCGTTTCCACCTCCCTTCCTCGCTCTCTCCCTTTTTTCCCTCCTTCTCCTCCTCTTCCTCCTCCTATTGTTTGAGGCCGCGCCAGCCATGCGTGACAGGCAAGGAAGAGATACCCCCAATGGGGGTACGATCGAAGACCGAGAGGGCGGGTATCGACGTATCGGGGTATACATGTTGAGTGTCACGCGGGCAACGAAGAGCGAACAGTCTTAAAATGCTTGTTGCTGCTCTTGATGTTCGTGTTGATGGCGATGGTGATGATGACGATGATGATTATGCTGCTGTAGATGATGATGATGATGATGATGCTGATGATGATGATGATGATGATGATGATGCCGATGATGATGATGATGATGATGATGATGATGATGATGATGATGATGATGATGATGATGATGACGATGCTGATAATGATGCTGACACTGATGATGCTAATGGTGGTGGTGAGGATGCTAACGATGGTGGTGCTGATGATGATGCGGTTGTCGTTGTTGTTGCTGCTGTTGTTGTTGCTGTTGTTGTCGCTGTTGTTGTTGCTGTTGTTGAACATTATTTATTCTAAAGAATAATTATTGTTGGGCCCCCTGGTGCGCGCCCCCCCTGCGCCGCCTAGGCCGCAGCTACATTTTCATCATTTTCGTGATGAAGCCTCAGAAAAGAGGGTGTGTACAGGATCCGGTTGTTTTGTTGTAATCCGCTTTCCCTTGCAAAAAACAATAGAAAATGACATTTCTTGTTCTAATATAATCAAAATTTCAAGAATCCCTTGCAAAAAATAAGGTAAAGTGGACATTCGCGCGCGCAAGACGAAATCCTTCCAAAACCTTAGTTTCGCAGCGATTTTAACATAAAAACATCAAAAAACCCATGGTTTTTCAACAAAAAATTGTCAAAATCTCATCCCGCGCGCTCTTGCGGATTCGTAGGAAACCCAACACTTTTTAAACATTTCTGTCAAACGGGCTTTTGCGAGCACACTTTTTCGAATTCTGCGACAACGGTTGCGCAACCTGCCAGGGCCATCATCCCTGTCAAATAATACCATGCGGGACACCATGGAAGGCTTAACAACTTCTGTGGGTTAACAAGGCTTAACAACTTCTGTGGGTGTACGAACGTAGGCTTAACAACTTCTGTGGGTGTGTACTCCACGCCAGTGTAGTAGCCACGGTCGTCCGCAGGCCACGAAGTGAAGTGTCCGAACGTCATAGGGCGGGAAGCTGGGTGTGGGTGGTGGCGAAGAGTCGTGTGGATATTTGGTAGAGCTTGCACTGCCCCCCCACAAAGTGGGGGTATTGGCTGGCGTCGCATGAAAACCCTGGCACTGGTGAGAACACTGAGCGTTCGGGTAAAGTGATTGTTGTTGTTGTGGTTGTTGTTGTTGTGGGTGTTGTTACTGTTGTGTTTGTTGTTGATGGTGATGTTGCTTACAATGATGATGCTGATGCTGATGATTATGATTCTGCTGATGATGATGCTGATTCGGATGATGTTACTGATGCTGATGCTGATGCTGATTATGACGATGATGCTGATGATGCTGATTATGATGATGATGATGATGATGAACATGCTGATGATGGTGATGATGATGATGCTGGTGGTGATGGCGATGGCGATGACGGTGATGGTGATGATGGTGATGAAGATGATGATGATAATGATGATAATGATGATGATGATGATGATTATGATGATGATTCGGATGATGATGATGATGATGATGATGATGATGATGATGCTGATGATGCTGATGATGGTGCTGATGATGAAGATGATCATGACGACGCTGATGATGATGATGATGATGATGATGATGATGATGATTATCATGAGGACGATGGTGATGGTGGTGGTGGTGGTGGTGATGCATGTGGAGTGTGAGGGGCAGAGGGAGGAGCAGGAGGAGGGAGAGGAGGAAGAGGACGGGGGAGGATGAGGAGGAGATGACGAGAAAGGGCAGGCGGATGGGGACGGGAGAAGCGGGCGATGCGAGAGGGGGTTCTAAAGGGGGGGGCAGGGGGGGATCCTTCGGGTATCGCTCCTCTCGCTCCTCTTGCGCCGCATCGGCCCTCAGCTCCGCGGGGTCGGCTTCCATCGTTGGTCCAGGCATCCCCTCCTCCTCCTCCTCCTCCTCCTCCTCCTTTTCCTCCTCCTCCTCCTCCTCATCCTCCTCCTCCTCCTCCTCCCACTCCTCCTCCTCCCCTCCTCCTCCTACTTTTCCTCCTCCTCCTCCTCCTCCTCCCACTTCTCTCTTCTCTCCTCCTCCTCCTCCTCCTCCTCCTCCTCCTCCTCCTCCTCTTCCTCCTCCTCCACCCTCCTCCCTCCTTCTACTGCACCTCCCTCTTCCCCCCTCCTCCCGCCCCCGTTCTCCCCTCCTCCCTCCTCCCCCCCCCTGCTCTCTCTTCCCTCCTCCCTGCTCCTTCCCCCTCCTCGTCGGCATGAGGAGGGGATGGCGGTGGAGAAGGTCCAGCAAAACCCGGCTCCCAGTCGAGCGCGCAAAGAGATGTGTTCAGTCGTCCGCATGTCTTGTGACGGCTTGCGTGCCTGTGCAGGTGTGGGAAGGGCAGCCGTGCGTTGGAAGAGGCCCCAGACTGCCAGGACGTGGCTGGACAGGCAGGCGGCGGGCGCCACCAGGCGAGAGAGCTGTGTCTTGAGACGACGCGGAGAAGGAGTGCAAGGCGGCTCGGTTCGGCCGTCCACGAAGGCTGGGGCAAGCTCTTTCAGCCGGGTGAGCGCCGAGCCCCTGGTGTGTCGGCGGTCGTTGCCGCCCTTGCAGCGGGCTCACGCTCACCCTGGGCGCGCGAAGCCGAGCGGAAGGATACGGAAAGCAACATCCAGTGAGGCTCCAGAGGCGGCACCAATAAAGGACAGAGGTACACAAGACCCACGTGAGGCTCCAGATGCCATCACCAATCACAGACGGTAGAAGTTCGCAAGACACGTGCGTGAGGCCACAGGGGCCGTCAACCAAACAGCCGGTAGACGTTCGCGCCCTTGGCGCACATACGGCGCCGTAAGAACCACCAGCCTGCGACCCCAGCTGGGGGGGTGAACCAAGGCGGGACTGGGATCCCCAAGGGAGGCGAGGGGCCCGGCACCACCGCGGCCTAACCCACTCCACGGGGGGAGGCGCCCCCCAAGCCCGGAAAAAGGGGTCCCGCCTCTGCCAGTCCTCGGGGATGGTCACGCACCTGGCGGCACCGATCACCCCGTCAGCCGAGTCCTTGACCAGGCCCTGCTATCCAAGCAGGGGGGGCAGGGTAAGAAGGAGGAGACGGAGGAGGAGGAGGAGGAGGAGGAGGAGGAGGAGGAGGAGGAGGAGGAGGAGGGAGGAGGAGGAGGAGGAGGAGGAGGAGGATGAGGAGGAGGATGAAGGGGATGAGGATGAGGGGGTGGGGGAGGAAAAGAGGAGGGGCAGGGGCGGGCAGGAGAGGGGAGGCGAGGCGAGAGTTGGGCGGTGCGAGATTGCGGCTTGCCCGAGGGTCGCTCAGCTGGCAGCACCGTAGCGGGTCGCCAGATGGACATCGGTATCCGCGGAGGCGACCATCGTCGCTGCGCCAGGAGGAGGAGGAGGAAGAGGAGAAAGATGGGGGAGCGGATGATGGTCAGGAGGGAGATGAGGGTGAGGAGGAGGAGGAGGAGGAAGAAGAGGATGAGGATGATGATTATGATGCTGCTGCTGATGCCGCGGGTGCTGATGATGCTCATGATGATGATTACGATGATAATGATGATGAAGCTGCTGATGATGCTGCTGTTGATGACGCTGACGACGACGATGATGATGCTGACGTTGATGCAGATGCTGCTGCTGATGATGATGGTGATGATGAAGATGAGGATGCTGATGATGCTGCTGCTGCTGCAGATGACAAATTTGGTGGTGATCATGATCACAATGACGATGGTGACGATGGTGACGATGATGCGGATGCTGATGCTGCTGATGATGCTGATGCTGCTAGTGATGATGACGACGGCCATGATGCTGATGCTGATGCTGATGATGATGATGATGCTGATGATGATGGTGACGATGCAATGAGTATGACTACGACGGTGATAATGGCGATGCTGATGCTGATGCTGATGTTGGATGATGAGGATGACGACGATGATAATGACGATGATGATGATGATGATGATGCGGATGGATATGCTGATGATGCCCATGACGATGATGATGCTGATGATGCTGCTGCTGCTGATGATGATGGTGACGATGAAATGAGTGTGGCGACGGTGATACTGACGATGCTGATGCTGATGATGATGTTAGATGATGAGGATGACGACGATGATGAGGACGATGATGATACTGATGATACTGATGATGATGATGATGATGATGCTGATACGGATGGATATGCTGATGCTGCCCATGACGATGACGATGCTGATGCTGATGATGCTGCTGATGATGATGCTGAGGATGCTGATGCTGCTGCTGCTGATGAGGATGATGCCGCCGCTGCTACTGCTGCTGCTGGTGAGGACGACAACGACGATTCTGCTTACGGTGACGGTGCTGATGATGAGGTGAAGGTGATGCCGACGAACATGATGATGCTGATGATGCTGATGATGGTGCTGATGATGAAGATGATCATGACGACGCTGATGATGATGATGATGATGATGATGATGATGCTGATGATGATGATGATGATGATGATGATTGTGATGATATTCATGATGATAACGATGCGGATGCTGATGCTTGTGTTGATGCTGATGTTGATTGCGTTGTCGACGATTGCGATGATGCGGATGATGGTGATGTGGATGATGTTGCTGATGATGATGCTGATGATGATGATGGTGATATTGTTGTTGCTGTTGTTGATGAGCTGTTGCTGTTTTTGTTTTGGTTGCTGTTATTATTATTGTTACTATTATTACTGTTGATTTCGTTGTTGATGATGATGATGATGATCATGATGATGACGATGATGATGATGATGATGATGATAATGATGATGATGATGATGATGATGATGATGATGATGATGATGATGATGAGGATGACGAGGCCGAGGACCACGAGGAGTGGATGTGATGTGGGGTAGTGCTCCATGTCGACTGCTGCAGGTTCTCCCCTTCCGCCTCCAATCTTGCCTCCTCGGCCATCCTTCTCCCCAGCCCCCCCTCCTCCCCTCCTTTCCGCCTCCCCTCCCCCTCTCCTAATATCAGTTGCGAGAAGACCTCCACTCTCCTCAGCTTCCCTCTTCCAATTCCCTCTCCTTTCTCTCCCTCTTCCACTCCCTTTCCTCTCTCCCCTGTCCTTTCTCATTTTCCATCCTCTCCCCCCTCCTCTCCCTCTCCATCTCCCTCTTCCCTCCCCTCCCGTGCCTTCTCCTCCTTTCTCTCTCTCCTTCTCTCTCTACCTCCTCTTCCTTCCCTCCCTGTCGCATCCCTCTTTCTTCCTCTCCTCCCCTCCCCCCTTTCTTCAGACTCCCCTCGCCCGTCATCCCTTTATCTCCTCCTCCTGCCCCTTTTTTCTCTCCCTCTCTCTCCCTCTCTCCTCTCTCTCTATATATATACACACCTATTATCGCCGTCTCTGTCTCCGTCCAAGTCTCTGTCTCTGTCTCTGACTCTGTCTCTAACTCTTTCTCTGTCTCTGTCTTTGTCTCTGTCTCTGTCTCTGTCTCCGTCTCCGTCTCTGTCTCTGTCTCTGTCGCTGTCTCCGTCTCCGTTTCCGTCTCTGTTTCTGTCTCTGTCTTTGTCTCCGTCCCCGCCTCTGTCTCTCTCTCTCTCGCTTTCACTTTCTGTCCCTATCTCTGCCTCTCTTCCTGTCTCTCTCTCTCTCTCTCTCCCTATCCCGTCTCTTCCGTCTCCGTCCCCTTCTTCTCTCTCTCTCTCTCTCTCTTTCTCTCGTTATCTGTCTCTCTTCCTTTCCACTCTCATTCCCTCCACTCCCTTCTCCTGCCTCTCCTCCTTGCCCGGATCTTGCCCAGAGGATTTCAATCCTGCAAGCTGTTCGTAGGGCAGCTTGCGACCACCGCCAACGAGACGGCCCTGCAAGGCGCCGGCCCGACCGCCTGATAGGCGTGTGGAGATTTGCTCCATGGCAGCGTCCGCCGCCGCCACCTTCGTTCTCCTCTTTCCCTCCTCCCTCGCGGCTGTACGAGAGGCTTCGATTGACGTCACTGCGAGACATGTCGGTCGGGGGCCACCCGCTTCTTCCCCAGAGTTGGATCTTCAGATCTCCAGTTTCGCGCTCCGTCGGGTGGTGGCTTGCGTCATTCTGCTGCCGTGGCTCCCACGTCCACCGCCCCTTCGCCCCGACGGCCGCCGCACGCATCAGCCGCCACCGTGAATCAGATCAGATCGCACCGCCACCAACAAAAGGCCGCGGTACGACGTCAGAAAGTTGAAGGATGGAGGGTGGGAGTGATGGTGGAGGAGCAGGAGGAGGAGGAGGACCATTGTAAACCCAAGAGTCACCAACTATGTTGGTTCGTAGGCCCCTACAAGGTTTCAGTTCCATTGAGGGAACTTCATCGTTGGAAGACGACCGCCTGAATACCTTGACGCATGCCAAAACATTATTCTCGGGACTTCAACGCCACGGATCAACCTGACTTGGCTAGCGATCCTGAATTGTGCCAGAACGCCATTCCTGGGACTTCAACTCCGCAAACCCACGTAACTTTGTACCCTTATAACCCTGAGCCTTTGCAAAACACCATTTCTGCTACGTTGACCGTGGGAATCCGCGAAACCCTTGCAATTATTAAGAGGAACGTGCGCGGCGCTACGGCGAGAGCCACATTTTGAAAACGACCCGCCCTCAATCCGTGAAGCTCGTGCAACTTTTTGAAGCGAATGCGCGCGGCGCCGAGGCGAGAGCCACATTTTAAAGACGACCCGCCCTCAATCCGTGTTTTTCTTTGTTATCTCAATGATATATGCGTGTGTGTATATATATGTATAGAAAAGACTGTACGCAGCGCTGGGGCGAGAACCACATTTTGAAGACGACCCGCCCTCAATCCGCGAAGATCTTTCAAATTTGTAGAACGAATGTGCGCGGCGCCAAGGCGAGCCACATTTTGAGAACGGCACGCCCTCAATCTGCGAAGCCGTTGCAATTCTAAGGACGAATGTGCGCGGCGCCAGGGCGAGAGCCAGATTTTGAAAGCCACTCGCCCTCCACCTGTGAATCCGTTGCCTTTTCTCAAGCTTCAGGGTCATCATTGGTAAGGAGGTCGCAGGCGAAACGCCCTGCCCGCCCTAAACACTGGCCTCGGGGTGCGACAGGGAGAAACTATCTGGAGGAGGAGGAGGAAGAGGAGGAGAAGGGGGAGGAGGGGGAGGAGGAGTAGGCGGAGGAGGAGGAGGAGGAGGATGAGGAGGAGGAGGAGGAGGAGGATAATGAGGAGGAGGAGGACGAGAATGAGGAGGAGGGGCGGAGGAGGAGGAGGAGGGGGAGGAGGAGGAAAAGGAGGCGGAGGAGGTGGGGGTGAAGGAAGAAGGGAAGAACGAGAGAAGGCAAGGGATCGATGGAGGGAGGGAGTGAGGGCGTGAGGGAGTGTGGGGTGGTGGAGGAGGAGGAGAAGGAGGAGGAAGAGGAGGAGGATGTAGAGGAGGAGGAGGAGTATGAGGAGGAGGAGGAGGAGGAGGAGGAGGAGGAGGAGGAGGAGGAGGAGGAGGAGGAGGAGGAGGAGGAATAATAATAATAATATGAAGAAGAATAATAAGAGGATGATGATGATGGTGATGAGGAGGAGGAGGAGCCGGAGGAGCTGGACGAGGAGGAGGAGGAGGAGGGAGGAGGGAGGAGGCAGGAGGGAGGAGGGAGGAGGGAGGAGGAGGGGGAGGAGGAGGAGGACCAGTGTACAGCCAAGCGTCATCAACGATGTTTGAATCAACCCTCCCTCCAAGCTTCCTCTTCACAGGTCTCTACAGCGGTTCATTTCCACTGAGGGAACTGCCTCGTTGGAAGACAACTGTTTTGAAACCCTGAGGCATGCCAAAACATTGTTCTCGGGATTTCAACGCCACATATCAACATAACTGTTGCGTCTTGACGATCCTGAACCTCGCCAGAGCGCCATTCCTGGGAATTCATCATCGCGAATCAACGTAACCGTTGCGCCCATCATGGACCTGAATCCTTCCAACACGCAATTTCTGGTACGCTGATCATGGGGGTCCGTGAAGCTATTGCGAATTCTTAATGCTAATGCGCGCGACGCTAAGGCGAGAGCCACATTTTGAAACGGAACCGCCTCCAATCCGTGAAACTCCTGAATGTTTTATAACGAATGTGCGTGGCGCTTAGGCGAGAGCCACATTTTGAACACGACCCGCCTTCCATCCGTGAAATGTTTTCAACTTTTATTAAACTTCAGGGTCATACGTGCTGAGGAGCTCTCAGGCGAAACGCCCGGCCCGCCCGAAAACCTGACCTCGGGGTGCAACAGGGAGAAAGAATGTGACATGACAATGAATGCAGGAGGAGGAGAATGAACAGTTGGAGGAGGATGAATAATAACAACAATTCTGAGCAGGCGATCGTAGCAATAAGAATAAACAGATAACGCTGAAGAGTAACAAAGCAATACTAAGAGTAATGATATGAAAGCTACGAATACTAGCAATACGAAGGCGAACTAGACTAATACTAAGAATAATGCGGCGGATACTCGTAACAAAAAGAACCACTTGTAATACCATTGGTAAGGGTACCAACAAGACTAACAGCATTATTAATAGTAGTGATACCAATGCCAGTTTCTTAGTGCTGCTAAGGAGACCAATCATCGTGATAGTAATAAGGTTGCCTTACTATTTGCCAGCACAAGAAAGCGAATACTAATAGTACCACTAATCATACGAATACGAATAACAATATGCAGACTAGTACTTTTATTATTTTTTATTAGTATTACTTGAAGCAATCGTAATCCTATCATTAATGGTATTCGCAATGCTACTACTACTGCTACTACTACTGCTACTACTACTACTACCATTATTCATACCAGTAACACGACTAATATCAGTGCGACTATGATTGATACTAATGGTCGTAACAACAGTATTACTTCTGATAAGCAGAGCACTGCTACTTATACCAGTCATAACTCTAGTACGAACACCAACTCTATTAACACTAGACAATCACAACTAACACGACTCGTATTACTATTACCACTATTAATACTATTATTATTCAGTTACTAATACCACTACCAATACGAAAGTGTTACATACGGTACAATACGAGTAAGACGAATAAACAAGAAGAAGAGGAAATGAGGAAGAGGAGGAGGAGGAGGAGGAGGAGGAGGAGGAGGAGGTGGCAGTGAAGGGAGGAGGGAAGAACGGAAGCATGCAAGGGATCAGGGGAGAGGGTGGGAGGGAGTATGGGGATATCAGGATGATGATGATGATGATGATGATGATGATGATGATGATGATGATGATGATGATGATGAGGAGGAGGAGGAGGAGGAGGAAGAGGAGGAGGAGGAGGAGGAGGAGGAGGAGGAGGAGGGGGAGGAGGAGGAGGAGGAGGAGGAGGAGGAAGCATCGAGGAGACTTTGTCTGAGCAGCAGCTGGGGGAGGCGCCGAAGCCGCCGACGCTGCAGGAGATCTTCGACGCGGCGGGAAGCTCCAAGAAAGCTGAGCTACAGCGGTTGGCATCGACAGCACCAGGCTGCACCACTTCAGCTGGCTCTCCGAGGACGGACTGCTGGCCCTCAGCTTGCTGCTGCACCTCATCGGGATGGAGACGGCCTTCCCGCGGCAGATCGCGGAGGTCTTCATTTTCTTCCTGGCCGAGTCCGGTGGGGGATGGAGGCCGGCCGGCCTGATCGCGTCGTTGGTCAGGCTGCTGGGGAATATCAGGCACCAGGAGGCGAATTCGTGGGGGAATGCCGTGAACAGACAGTACTTCTACGACGGGACAGGCAAGTCCTGCGAGGACGCAGTGTGGCCCCAGATTTTTGACGCAAACCACTCCCGAGCGCTGGGTCTGGTCTGCATGTCCTCCCTGCTCGACCTGAGCAAGGCTTACGAGAGGGCCACCCACCGAGGTCTGGTGTACGCAGCCGTCAGACAGGGCTTCCCGCTGAGGAGGATCAAGCTGCTGGTGCGGTTTGTGCAGCGGGAGGCGAAGGCTGTGCCTGGACAGATGGAAGACGGAGGCTTTTACGTGGACCTCTCCCTGCTGGCAGACTGCTCCTTCGCCACGACGCTCCTGCAAGTGGCCCTGGTCCAGCCCCTGGGCGCGATGCTCAGAGCGTGGCAGGCGGTCAAGACCTTCGTGGTCGTGGACGACACCACCCTCGCGGCCCACGCCAAAAGAGCCCAGGCGGAGCACATTCTGCTGGGAGCCACGCGAATGCTCTGCCAAGCCTTGGAGGAACATTGGCTTCGCGATCTCCGTGGCGAAGGGGCAGGTCCTGAGCTCCGAGGGCGAAGTTGCGTGCATGGTGGATCAGAGGCTGCAGGAGTTGCAGTTCCGACGCGCCAAGGCCACCAAGAACTTTGGCGTGGACTTCGCGGTGGACAAGAGGGCGTCCTGGACTGTCCTGCGCCAGAGGATTGCCCGCTTGAAGCAGCGGGCTGGTCGCTACGTGTCCCTCGAGAAGGCGGGGGCCAGGAAGCTGTCCACCTTCTCCAGGGCGGGGGGCCTGGCGTCCACCCTCCACGGGGCGCGGGTCCGCGGGGTGCCGCCCCAGGCCCTCCATCGGGCCAGAGCGGTGAACGGCAGGGCCTTGACGGGAGAGGTCGACGCGAAGTCGCGCGCGCTGTTGTTCGCGCTGCAAGAAGGCAAGGCTTGGAAGCGCGACCCAGTCCACGCGGCCCACGAGCTCTCTGTCCGAGCGTGGGCGAAGGCAGTTTTACTCTAGTGCATGCCAGGGGCGGCTTTGAGATGGTCGTGGAGGCGAAGATTGGTGCTTGGGGAGAGGTCGTTGGCCCGGCAGGGGCGGTGTTCCTCCCGCTGACGCGGATCGGCTGGCTGCAGCTCGCGTGGGGCCAGTTGGCGGGCGACCAAGGCCAGATCATTGA